AAACGTCGGCCCCAAAAATATGCGCCCAGGGCATGGATTTAAATTTTTGCATTTCTCCTGAACTCATCGTGTCAGTAGGAACGTCCATGCCACGTTTCAGCTTTCCATGTCTCTCCGTTTTATTGAAGCAATGGGACATGGAAGGCAAGAACAATAAAAAAAAGGCATGGATTGGTTAGGAATTGAACCCTGGCATCACACTTACCAGTCCGATGTGCTACCACTCCACCATCGAAACGGTGACATACAACGGTTTCTTTCGATGACGTCCTTATCCATCACGATATATATTAAAAAAAAAAACTTCTTCCCCCAAAATGTGTACCCCCAGGTCATGTACCTTCAAAGTCGGAGTTTTTCTGAACTCTGCACCCCAAAAGGTACATGTGTTCCAAGTTTCAGATTTCTAACCTTTCTGGAACATGGTTAGAATTAGCGTCAGTCAGTCAGTCACGATCGTCTATATATATTAGATGCTTGGGCGTCTGTCCCCAAGCACCATGTGCGCATGAGCGGCGCCTTCTTGAGCCAATCTCTTTTGAAGCTGGCGTATTGTCTATCCATTAATAAATGACAGGGACAAACATTGGACACAGTTGGGTTGAATTTACGGAATGACGTATTTTCTCATTGACAACTGTATTGTAGCAATAGGTAGATATAGAAAAAGAGTCCCGGCCAGTTCATCGATAGAAGTTCCTCTAACTCTATGATTGGGCCTCTGTGCGTGTGTCCGCATGTGCAACGCCTTCTTCAATGCCTCCGGTGTACGTCTCTATCCTCTCTCTTTCGGGCTGGTATTTTCTTTTCTGCCGTTAGTTACTGTAGGATATATTCTCCAGGAAGCAATGGCCGTGGGAGGGGGGGAGGGGGATGGGAGATGGCATGAAGAAGAAAGAAACCGTTGAGAACGGAAGCGAACCCGGATCTCTCCTGTATTGCCGGTCGAGGCGTGCTACCACTACACCACCGAACCCATGCCGTCCAGTCGTACCTCTCCATGCCATCCATAACACTACAACGGGAGAGAGAAACATTGTACGCACACCCCCCGCTCCTTAGTTCCTACTTAGGGGGGTCCGATACGGACTTTTCCTTAGGGACGTGTAAAACGTCCCAGCGTATTACACTTCTCGTCCCCTTTCATCCCTTCGGAAGGATGACTTCCATCGCCGGGATGAAATTTCCACCCATACATTCATCGGGATCCCGACACCTTTATCGATCGGAACCCCGTCATCGTATCGATCGCACTCTCACGAGGAGAGTGACTCCCGAGGGTGAAAACGGCGGGACTGTATGGAACGGAAGCGCTTACCCTTGAATTGGAAGGATGACGTCGGTCGCGTCGTAAATATCCCGTTTCCCTATCCATATTTTTCATTCATGGGCCTATGCAAAAAATGATGGAGATGGACTTCACGGACGATACGCACAGGATACTGGAGGAGAGTGTCACTCAGTGAAAGTCCCTTTCGTAAGCGTGAATACCCCCTTCGGGAACGGGGGAAGGGGGGGGGGGGGTGGGGGGCTGGGCAAGACGTATAATGTCCGAGCCGCTGCTGCGTAGAGTGTTGCATGGGCGCTGACTGAACTCGTGAATTCCCGACAATGTCACGTGCTTAGTCTAGGCCAGAGATGTCAAACTTGATTAAGCTGGAGGGAGGATGGTACTCTTCAAGAGTGGTTGGATCCAGATTAGCAAATCTTACATGTAGGTTTCAATTGTTAACAGGTTGAAAAACTTTACGCTTTTTCAAGGCAACGGTTGAAGAGGACTTAGCCGGTCGGACAAAATGAACTAGTGGACTGGCAGTCTGACACCCCTAGCCGAGTCCGAATCGAAATTCCTGGAAGTCTTTCACGCGTCGGCCGGTCCAATATATTCCATTCGAACCTTTCCGCTTAAATACCGAAGGATGCGACCCATATCATCCGAGATCATTGCATAGAGAACCCCTTTACGCTTCTGCACCCATCTCTGGCGATTTCCGCTCTTCCCGCTATCCCCCTCTTGCAAGGCCACCCGAATCTCGACTCCGAAGGGAAACGACAGGGAGGCGGACGTACCCCCCTCATCCGACATCCGTCCGTCCCCTCGGGCGAGACCGGGACGTTGCAGCTCTCGCCGTCCTCCTGGCTCAGCAGCTCGTACCACCCGTCCACGGGGCTCTCGAGGATCTCCGAGACCGGGAAACTGAGGCTCCCCATGAAGTCGTTTCGAGACGTTCGGTCCCAGTCCCACATCTCGATCGATAGGCGGCGGTCCTCGTCCTCCGGCTTCAAATCGCTACGTACCCATATGCACGAACGACATGATCATTACGCCAAAAACGCATCATCCTGCATGACTTGCCTCTAAGCAATATGTAGGAAATGCAGATCTAAGGAAATTTTATTAAAACGAATGCTGATGGCTCTTACACTAAAGGGAATCTCACACTGGAGATAAACGCAGAAGGACTTACAAATTCAACATTAAAACTAGAAAATTAATTCCTGCAAGATATAATTGCGTGCCGAGATATTGGTGTCTGATATCGATACGGTGAATGCTAACTATCATAGAAACATTTTTATCACTATAGACAAGGAAATTTTCCAGACCACAGGCAATATATATCATACTAGAGAAAGTTATTTTTAAAAAAAGCACGTACAAGTCTTAAAATTGAAAAGCTGATTTGCTACAGCGATACCGTACATAGTAGAGTGGCCATAGTCACGGTATCTTATTTCATGGCTTTCTAAAAAAGGTTAGAGCATGTAATTACGATTAAATTGAAGTTGTGCCGCAGCAACGAGCATTTTTGCATCGAAAGTCATAGCACAGCCATGACTTCATGCTTTTAAAAAAAAAAGTTTCTTTTAGGTACGGTTTATATTGCAAATGCGTATGCAACGAAGAGGTGCCTTTCATTTCGTTGGAGGACAGGTCGACTACAGGTTCTGATCGTCTCGTGCGACGACCGATCGTGTCTCTTGCAGTCCGTTCTCGCATCGCTTCCAGCCGTTTCTCTTTGTATGTTGCGTCACGAAATTGACAAAATCCTCAAATTTTCTCATCGTCGTACTCCCACGCCTCCCCAGTTTGTTTGCGAGAGCGGACGCGTCGAGAACGGAAAACGGGACTCACAACTCCAAGGTCTCGTTCCAGACCGGGTCGAGGGTGGACCGGACGATCTTCGTCTTTTTCTTCGCCGGATGAGCTTCGGCTTCTGGGATGAGCTTCAGCTTCACGTACGGGTCGCTGAGTCCGTTCGGGTCCATCGGGATCAGGTTCTTCGCCCGGCGAACTAACGGAATGATATTTCGCATGCTTAAAATTTTTTCTTTGCATGGAATCTGATTTCTTCATAAATTCCGACGAGTCGAAGGAAAGAAAGAAAAGGCTAACGAAGAAGAGCCAGATGGGGACTCACTTTCCACGACGAGTCGCGTGCCATTGTTGGTCGTCCGGATTTTAAGCTCGATCTTCCCTTGGCGCTCCGTGTGATCGCATCCGCACTGATTCCGCACGCGCTCCACGCACCGCTTGTGCACGTTAATGTCACATGCTGCGGCCACGCCCACGGAAACAAACGAGAGGGATTCAACTAGTGACCCCTCGCTCGATGCGAGGACCAACTTATGTAAAGGTGAGAGCAATTTCTCCTGATATTTCGAGAAGCGTAAAAGCATCCAGGACGGGCGAATGCCCTACAAGTAACTGCCACAGATCGGAAATCTTGCACACTCGTTCCAAAAGGCGAACGAAACGACAGAGAATTCCAAGTGCCTAAAAACAAATACAGCGGCAAAAAAATTCGTGCAGGCAGGGACGTGATGAAAAAACCAAGTGAAGAAAGTTGAATTCCTGGTTTGCAAAGAAAATTTAAATAATTAAGTTGTTCTTTCGAATCTATTGGATGGAAAGATACGATCCACCCCACCGCGTTTCGTACCCGAGACACAAATTGAAAGAACATTAACGAAAAAAGTTAATGCTCTTTCAATTCGTGTCTCGGGAGGACTTGTTACAGTTGCAATTCGATTAAGCTGAAGAATAAATACAGGCGGAAGAAAGCATTACGAAAATTCCATTTTTCATAGGGAAAAAATGTGATGAGAGTCCCGTGGGAAAAAGTCTTTCTTGCAAGGTCAATTATTCCTACGTGTGGGGGGAAAAGGGCATTAATTTGCCCAAGTGTCCACGAGTCATCCCCTCCGTCCACAGAGCATACCCTGTTTTCTCCGATTTTCCATCTTCCCATCTCCGAGAATTAATTAAAAGCCGGACAGGAAGCAGGCGGAGGATGTAGCACGCGAGAGATGCAAGGGAAGATGGAAGGGAAGGGGGACCGACCTTCGCATTTCATTCCTCGGTGGAGGACGCCGTAGATTTGCGAGCCGCAATGGTCGCAGAACGTCGGGTCCACGTACGTCTGAGCTTTGAACTTGTGCTTCTTTCGGGATTCCTGGCGGAAAAAATCCTGGCGGAAACGGTCCAAAATCATCGTCCTGCTCGACGCTTAAGCATGGGGCATACGCGGGTTCACGGCTCTTTCGCGACCGTGGCGAAACCGTTCTCGGCCGTTCCAGACGCTTCATTTCTCGGCGAATGGTTTCTTTCACTCGAAAGAGCTATCACTTTGAAGCCAACGAGGGTCGGAGTCGTAATAAATTGTAAAAAAAATGGATATTAAAATAATCTATAAATAAAAATAAATTACTTTATCCACACTAATATTGTCTTTGATTGCATGTGTGAACATCCTTACTCCATGGAGGACACGGAAAACAATTATAATCTCCCATGAAAAACTGGCTAACTCCTTTTGGCTTTCCATTTGTGCCCATTTCGCTAAAGTCAGACATTTCTGAAAAAAAAAAACTATTGGAGCCATGCATTTTCCCATTCTTTATTTGTCTGTCTCGCTGGGGCAAAAAATAATTTTTGAAAATATTCCCCCCCTCCCCACCCGGCCTATTATGTGCTATGAGGGATGTACCAAAAATGTAAGGTTTATATTGAAATCATAACTGCGGGAATTACTTGTGTACTAAATTTCAGCTCTCTTCATCTTCACGTTTTCCAGGTTCGCAATACATTTGGAAATATTTTGCCTCCAAAAATAGGCCAATGAGAAGGTTGTACCTTGAAAGTAGTTTCTTTCCTTCCTTGAAACGGCTCTTTTGCTTCTCCTTCCTCTTTCGTTTTTCGTGTTTTGGCAAGTTTGGCAAGTTCTTGCAATTCTTTCTGTCGCGTCTTCTGCGAGAGAGAGAAGATTGAGGTGAGGTGTTGTCACCGCGTCTCTGAATAAGATGTGATAAGAAATGCAATAAATATAGATAAATCGAGCCTGACCTCGTCGACGTGCCTCTGATCCTCGCGACGAAACCCTGGAATCGTCTGCACGACCGTTTCGACGTTCCCCTGGAAGAGAAGTTTCAGCACCGTCAGACACATCAACTTGTTCTTCCATGAGAGAATTTCGCAAGAAAAAGGAAATCCTTTCCCGACTGCCAAGATAACACTCTCAAGACGAATCCTCTTTAAAAAAAAAACGTGTGCAGCGATATCGTCCTTGCTGTGCAATCGACAGTCAAATTATGCCTGTATATCCTTTTTTTTGCCAGGAGCATTACGCTTGAGAGAGTCGATTTTGGAAGATCATCAAGAACATAGCACGTTCCCCGTCCGAAGTGCGAATTCCAGCCGCTGTGATGTCCCATGAGTAAATTCATATATTGTGAATGCCATTATGAGCAATTTCGTTCAACGACTTGCGATCGATTAACAGCCTCAATTCCACACACTTCACTGAGTCCTAATAGTTCGCACATCATTTTCATCATTTGATCGCCATTTCATGCAGTGGAATGCCATTATACGACTTTGGGTACCCACATTTCCAAAACGGCAAATATGCATGTTTTTCCTGCAGCCACGTAGGAGCATGCAACACAGAATGGGTCATATTTTATTAGTAGAGGAAGCGATTTCCACATTTAACAAACACTTTAATTGCAAAATTTTTATTTCTCCTAAAATTTCCAAGTATATTTCGCAAAATGCTTATTTATGCATATTTAGTCATTTTCATACAACATGTATGTGCGCAAATTCACCAAGGGCGCCAAAACGTGACCAAGTATACGAAGCAATAATGTATGCCACCCTCAGTTTTACTTCAGAAAGTGAAAATGCCTTCCGTTTCGGCGTGAATTCGAACGCTAGGGATTGACCCTTCTCCATTCGAGAACGCTTCGGGAGTCTCTGCACAGGGCGCCGAAATATCTGATAGGCCCTGCATGGCGTTAACTATGGTCTTGTATGCCGTAGCTACAGAGGCCTACCGGATTTTCGTTGTGAGTAACAGGTAGAAAACTTCCAGCAGACATATGATGTGACCAGTGCCGTACCAAGAACAGAACTGGGGTGAGTCCTGTAAAGCTCACTTAGTTTGCTTCACGCCATCCCAATTCTGCTCTAAAACATCCCCCCTCCGAGTAGAAAGTAGAAGTTCAAGTCCCCCCCCCCCCACACACACCCCCCACACATGGGCGATTTCCTGGCCACGCTTCTGGTTGAGACAAGAATAAACCTGTTATGCCCAATAGACACTTGATCTAATCTCCATACTTGACTCTTTGAAATGCGCACTATAGATCTTTCTTCATAAGAATTCATTCCGTACTTAGAAAAGCAAGTTTTTTGCACATGTTCCAACTTTTGTTCATATTTCATGCATAATTGAGCCTTTTAAGTACACATGTATGCGCATATTCTAGGACTAAAAAAAAACCTCTCTCTGATGACGTAACGATTATCTTCCTGCAAAGCCAGGCATCTCGTTCTCGGCGCAGAAGCATTCTGTCCAAATCATGAGATGTTCCGGCTCATTTTGAGATGGGCGGCGCCCAGTTCATCCACTTTCTTCACGCGTTTGATCGGTTCCTCCAGTCTTTCCAGGATTTCCGGATTTTCTCCAGACGGTTTCTCGTGCCCTAAGGAATAGCTCGAGTTCATGGACATTTCGGCCTGCTCCTTTGATTCGATTAACGCCTAAAATATTTATTTGTAACCGTCTCATCGAGCCCATATAAAATTCAGAGTATTTGCATTTCCCTCTGCGTCCCTTATCTCCACACAAATTACCAGAACTCAATCGTCGGGAATTAGTTTCTGAAGAGATTACATGCCGAGATTATATCGAGAGATTATATCTGACCCGTCGTTATCTTCTGTTCCGCAGCCGCATTTTCGAGCAAAGGCGTCGCCGTCTGCAGGGATTCTTCTTCCTTCCCCAATCGCTTCTTCCTGAGGTCGTCCTGGAGTTTTTTCAATCCCGAAATGTCGTCGGGCGATGAACGTATTTCCGAAATTCCTGTATCTGTCGGCAATTCTTTTAATTGCTTGCGGGAATCCTGTAGCTCAATCTGGTCACCGGACCTGGAAAAAAATACCGATAAGGTATGTAAAATTTAAAAAAGTTTCATTGCAAAGTTAGAGACTGAAACGGTGGTCACTCTTGCCTTGATTTAAATTTTGAAAAGTAAGCGTGGTACTCAATACAGAAACCAAATTCTGTGTTAAGAAGACGCGGTTGGAAACAGATATAAAATAATATCTCTTCTTACTCCTCAAAAGAATTCTGAGCATATAGGACACGCTTCAAAAACTGTGCCTTTTATTCTCACTTGTACAATACATTCACCATTAACAATTTTCGAAAGGAACACTTATTTCTCTATATTTTGTAGCAAAGCTGAGTCCAAACTACAGGTGTACTTTATGTTTGAATATTATGAATATTCAATTCACGATTTCTTCTATCACCAGGTATTCTTTAAACCAAGCAACCCCCGGGTGAACACCCTGCAAGTTTGGTTTTGGTCCGCCCAAACCTGGTCTAAATGCGTCCGCCATACCCCATACCCGTCCCCCCCCCCCCCGTCCCCCCCATATATTTGAGCAAAACCATGGCTACGTCACTGCTTGGAACGTCAATTACGAAAAAACACTTTCAAAGTTCATCAAGTTTATAAGAAAACACACTTGGTGCTTAACAACGATAGCAAAGGAATTGACGAACGAGGTCAGTGAAGGGAGCCAACAGAGAAGGCAGGGGACCAAAACAAGACCAAATGGGACCTCATCTCATTGGGCGAACGATGAGATGAATGAGATGGTCAAGGTTGTCGGGTGGGTTCGAGTTCGGCTCAGTTGATGAAGCAGGCTTGATTGGGATTCGGAAACGCATGCAATATCGATTCCATGCGAGTGGTATTTCGCAATCGCTCTTCTTATTTCTTTTATTCTGCCTTGCTATTCCAGGCAATTAATTATTGTTGTAAGGCCAAACTGCGGATTCTTCAATATACTTTTTTGTGTCCTTTGAGGGTAATGATGGCAATGTCCAATGATCCAAAAGAGCTAACCAGTCGTCCCTCATTTGGTCATGATTTGGATGTGTACATGCGTAGATGTATATATATAATCATTTTTCTCGGATAAATCATTTGGAAGATTTTCTGATAAAAACATAGACTTGTATATTCAGTTTCTAGTACATAATATATCCAGTGACTACTCCCACTTCGGCTTCAAATGTATGATTTGCCTTGAAATGAACTCTTCTAGTAATACTGCTTAACTAAGCTTCAGCATTTTACACCTGGATCTTCACGGGAGAAGAAAAAGTCTGGGAAACGTCTCACGGATAAAGTAAGCCCCAAGGAGACATCTGAAAAATTAGGATTTTTTCAGAAAAAATATTTGCTTTCGTTTTTCCAAAACCGTTTCAGTGTGAGTGGAGACATTTCGGGTAACTATTGCTGTTTTTTTGTAATATCTTTTTTATTAGATGGCTGATTCTTATCTCACTCGAAGTGAGTACAGCAAGTACAAATTTGTTGTGCAATGTGTAAATGTTCTAAAATATGACTAATAACTTTTCAAACCACCTGTGTTAATGAATAATGAGCATAATTATTTGATTAATAACTCCGCCTGTTTCTTCACTCTACGGTTTTTTTTTTAATTTCATGCAATAAGACTGTTAAATGCAGATTAAGGAAACTGAGCTTTTTTCCCATGGCTCTCACAACTGCGACTTGCTCTAATTGCTTCTCTATTTGTTTTTTCCCCTGTCAAAATCACGGGAATAATTATGCAGCTTGACCGAGCAGGCGGGATTTCTCCATTGATATCCCTCGTGTTCCTACTCTCGTGCTATGGGCTGTAAATTATATCTATGGATATCTAATATGGCCAATATGATACGAATTTCCTTGCCTTACCAGGTCGGGAAAAAAATTAATGAATATGTCTTGCCTTCTCGTTTCCAACTGCTGCAACCCAAAGGGGTAAAAAATAAATAATTTTTCATTTCAAATATATATTTTTAAATAGTGGCGAAAAGAGACAACACTTTCTTAAGGAATGAAGAGGAACTTCCAGAATCAAAATTAACCCTTTCCGATCCTCTGTTCCTCCTCTGTTCCGACAAAAATTTTAGCGGTTCCGCTCCTATGTCGGACATTCTCCGACATAAATTTAGGAATTAACGGATATACTCCCTGTGATGAAAATGCATCTCAAAGTGTTAAATGGACTGGGGAGGCGTGGTGAGTGTTGTGCGTAAGTGGTTTCCACACATGTTGATTTCCATCTTCATTGGGGCATTTCAGCTCATGTTGAAAAACTTAAATTGTTTTTGTTATTCCTTTATTATGTGGGTAAACCGTCAGATTTACATCTTTGATTTAAAAAAATGAAAAATGCATCGACAACTTAATACGAATATACGAATGTTTACAGAAGAGTCGTTTAATTTAATTTAATTATTCAGCCATTTAAATAGCAAAGTGGTCAAGGTCCTACTGAAAAAATTTAACGGTTTGCATTTGGAATGAGAAATACTTTCACCATGCAATGGGTTGATTTGACTCAGTATTTCTGAGGCTGTTCTGTAATTTATCAGGCTTTGAGGGATCCGAGATTCTTTCGCGCATTAAACATTGTAAATCGGCATAAATTCTCCTATTATGAATACATGGCCCGTATATCTTAGGGATCTCCATGTTCTTGGGGAAAGGAACGATGAAGCCTGACATTCCTCATTGGAGAGGGGGAGTGGCGGTACGGCATTTGCGAACTCTTGGAGGAAAAGAAGGTCGAGTCGTATCTAAAGATACGGGAAAGTATCATCAGGGCATAAACTCGACAACGTTGAGTTTCTGGCCTGATGACTTGATGATCATCCTGTTTTTTTTTTTCACCTCATTCTGATAGAAACGCATACAATCTTTCCTCCTCTAAACATGATGAAAGGGAGTTAATCTACTCTTTGGTGTCTGAAGTGTTGATTTAACCTCGTATCACAATAGGATTATGTTGAGTGGAACTTTCCCCTTTCCCCTTATGTTTTTTTCATTATAGACGCGTTGAGTCGAAAGAAGTTAAGGGTGTCCGGAATACATGGTCTCTTCTCCGGCCCCCCCCACCCGCTTAAACGTGACACAAGATAGAAAGCCAAATAAAGTAGAAAGCTGAAAAGCTTCATTTAGTGTCCTGTTTGAACACATTCTTTCTTCCATATACGTAGCAGAAAAAGGTTTTATTGACCGCATCAAAGCAATCACTTTTCGCGAAAAACGCTATTGCTTATCTCTTCGAGCATGGATAAGGAAAAAGCGGCGAAGTGACTTCGTTTAGACAACTCGCATCGAATTTCCTCCCGATTTCTCTTGGCGAGGTCATTGGAGCTTTCTAGCTTAGTAGGAATTGATGGTCGAGCGACAAAACTAGCAATTCCGTCTGCATTAAGTGATACGAACTTTTACATTATTATGAGTAGTCTTCTGTAAAAAAGAATAAAAGGGGATTAGATGTTAAGGCTCTATATATATTCATGATTTGGATCTTTATCTACATATCCCCCCCCCCGCCAAGCAAAACGCTTGGCGGGGGAGGGGGGGGGGATTTATCAGGGATTTATCTGTTTTAACGATTCTAGATTTCTTGTAAAAACTCAAGTTTTCATACTCATCCAGGATTCCGATCATGTACCTTGTCCGAGTTTGTCGGCGAACTGTTCGTAATTTCTCCTGCGAAGGACGTCGATTAAAGTCGGAATCGCGTGATCGCCCTTGAGAGATAACTGTTCCTGGAGAAACAATTTCTTGTTCCTCGTCTTCTCTTTCCTGGCATCGCAGCATTCTCGGGGCGACAAGATCCCCTCGCTCGCTAGATCCTCCAGGACCCCGTCCAGGTCGATGCAGTCAAATTCTTCCGAAAGGGGAGCGATGGACCCGGCAGGGATGCTCATCGGTTCTGCCTAGAAGCTGCTGGAGATGAAAGGGAGCTCGTTTGAGACGTGGAATTAGAAACGAGAGACTGCCTTTTTGCCCTTGGATGCCAGGGCAATGCCATAAAAATGTCTATTTAACAAATACTGAAACTTGAATTTACGCATCTTTTATGCGTTATCATTTACTTCAATTCCCAATGTTTACGGTAGTGTAACACTTCATGGAGTTGAAAAAAACAGCCAAAAAAGCCCCTAACTACCAATCCAAGCATTGAATCCCATTTAAAGGGACACCTTTTATGATGAGTTTTTTTTTAAGCTGCCAAACCGTCATGCTAATATAGTAAAACCTCGCTTATCCGGGCCTCGATTAACCGGTGATCGGATTATCCGTGCGTCTTTGTCGTCGACGTTTTTTTTCGATACGGCCCTCTTTCGAGACGCGGTACGTGTACTGTATGCAATCATGTGGGAGGGAAAGCAAGAGACTACCAGAAACTCAGAAGACAAGAAATTTACATTTCATTGGGATTTCAGCCGAAAAACCTGCTTTTAACCCTCTCTTCTTGCTAAGTGGTGGGCNGTGGTGGGCCGTAAATCATTTTTTCATCAAAACTGACTATTAAAGCAATACCAGCAAAGGTAGGATTAGTATTTTATGAATAAATCGCATTTTTGTTAATATACCATAGCATTACATCGTTTTTTTTCGAATTCTGGATTATCCGTGGTTTTCGATTATCCGACGAAGGTCTCCCGGTCATTAGCCCGGATAATCGAGGTTTTACTGTACTTTTCTGAATAGTAAATACCTAACTGAAGCGCCATCCATGCAATTAAAATGTCATTGGGATGAACCAATGCACCATCAGCCTTGGGCATTAAAATATTAGTAGCCAAATATTGTGTTCGTCTCTGAATTTATGCAATTTTAAAAGTATTCTTCCAGATTTCACCTGAAATCGCCGGGTGTAAAGAATTCACATATAATTTGTGTTAAATTAGTGTGCTGCACCTGCAGTATATACAGCAAGACTATTCATAGGGTAAAAATGACTAATCACTTTGACTCGCGCAACGTGGTCGTTGTGACCAACATAACGCAGCAGCAACCAGTTCCTGCCACAACCTAGCTAGTAATATTATGCAGGTAGATTCATAGGAGTTTGCAAGGGCCAGATTCAGCAGGGGAAAAACTACATCTGAGAGAAAACCCGACAGTAATGGCCATATGAGGAACAAATGGAAGGAAGAGAGTGAAGAGCAAGGGGGGGGGGGAATGCAATGAAATCAAATTTCACAGTAAAGTACCTCAAGAGTGACACATAGCATCTACCTCCCAATATTAACGCTAAATGTCACATTTTTGGAAAGTGGAGTCATTCCCCCAGAACGGGAGAAATATGCCACTTCGATTTAGAATGGAAAATGAGTAGGAACGTGGACGAATTACCTGTTGAGTGCAGTCATTTACTTAAAGTGATGCCGTTTCTTCAACCAATTAATTAAGCATTTGTGAATTTTTCTAGTATGATTTACCATGGCACGCCTTTTCAGACGTTTCCATTCAATTTTTCATTCGTACCTCCACCCTCATTTCTGTCTGCTTCACATCTGTGATC